CACTGAAAGGGTTTCTCCCCCGTGTGGATTCTGCTATGTACGATATAGCCATTTCTTGCATGGAAGCTCTTTCCGCACTCCATGCATTGAAATGGTTTTTCTCCCGTGTGGATCCTCTCGTGTGACTTAAGATGATCTTTTTGACGGAAGTGCTTTCCACAGTGCAGGCACTGAAATGGTTTTTCTCCCGTGTGGATCTTCTTGTGTAACTTAAGATGCTCTTTTTGACTGAAGCTCTTTCTACACACCGTACAATGATACGGCTTTTCCCCTGTATGTGTCCTATTATGGCAAGTGAGGCCACTTGCAGAGCGGAAGCTCTTCCCACATTCTAGGCATTTATATGATTTTTTTCCAGTGGGGATTTTTTTCTGGGAATTCGGTTCCTTGCTCCAAGTAAACCTCATTCTACCCTCCCTGAGTTGATGTAACCTCTCCTCTCTATGGAGGCTTTCATAGGAAATAAGGGAGGCATTGCTTCCAAAATTGGTTCCCCTATTAATGCATTGATGCTGCTTCTTCTCTTCATAGACCCTCTTATGTGAATTAGGATGACCTTTTTGACTGAAGGTCCTTCCAGAATCCAGACATTTCCGTGGATCCTCTGCTTTGTGTATCTTTTTATGCAATGCAAGAGAGCGGCTTGTACCGAAGCCTTCTGAACACTCTGTACATTTGTACGGTTTCCCTCCTTCTTTTATTCTTTCATGTAAAGGAGGAGGAAGGCTCCTTCTTGGGTGTTGCCTGCTTTCATCTTGTTTCTCTCCAGCTGGGCTTTTGCAACAGTCACCTAATCCAGATTCATCTTGGAGTGTTTTCCCACACGTTAAACACACTTGTTTTTCTTGGCAATCATTTGTGTCCAATAAGACATCGGTATCTGGACAAGGTAAACCAGAGCAACACTCCAGTTCCCTCGTTAATGGGTTTTCCTCTGAACTTTGCTTTCCATACGTCTTTTCTGCAACTTCCCTTTTGTCTTTTGGCAAAGGTGCTGCTGCCTCTTGGCCAGAATCCTCCATCTCCTGTCCATCACCTGCTTGCAACAGAAAAAGAAAAGTTAAGACATGTGCAAAAGGGATCAAGCACCATTGAACTGTATGAAAGTTCCTCCAAACTTCCATTTGTTCAAAACATGCTTGGTATTAAGTTGATATAAGATTTGGCCTTTGGGACTCTCTTGGCCTCAATGGTACAGAATAAAAAGCTGAACATGTTGGATAAAATCATTTAAAATTGGGGGGAAGTGGAGGTTCTCAGTTCTACTGCTTCAGATTTAGTTCCAAGGAAGCAGACAGGATATTTTAAAGTGGTTTATGTTTTTTCATTCATTTGTTCCTTAAATTTATTGGCCTCTTAGCTTGCCATGGGAAAACCCGGAAGGATTACGATATTAAAACTATATAAAACCTATACACAATAACATAAAACATAAGACTGCAAATACTGAATCCTAATTAAACATAATAGACTTGATGATGGAGAACCTATTGGTTTAATTTCAATTGAGAAGGTAGAAATGTTGAGGTCCTTGGACCTGGGAAATGAGCTTCAGCCTCATCTCCATGAAGAGATTTTTGCCTGAACAAAACCGGTTCTCACTCTGGGGTATTCATTCCTCCGTATCCCAAAGGGGCTTTTTCTTAAGGCAACTGGACTTTCTCTTTTCCTTGAACATGTTTTGCTTCTCATCCAAGAAGCTTCTTCGGTTCTGATTCTTTCCGACCAGATGACTGCAAGGAGTATAAATCCTTGTGTTAAACCCGTGGATTCTTATCGGCTTCTTTAGTGTCATCATTGTAGATCCAAAAACAACAAAATGAAAGCAACTTCTAAAAAACAAGTGCAAGAGGCAGGATGGGAAACAGGCTAGGATGAGAAACTTCACGGAAACAGTGTGGAGATTTAAGGCCATTTTATCAGACTAAGTAGGAGTACAAATGTAGAGAAGGACACTTTTATCTACTGATACATCGAACAAATTAAGTCTTTTATCTGAGCTGCTCACATCCACCACCCTTTCAGACCAGGCGGAAAAAACCTGTCAGGGAACTCAGTAGGCATACAAATGAAATCAGAGATGCTGACACAAACTTGATATAAATTAATGTTACATACATACATACATACAAACACACACACACACACACTGTAAATATATATTTAGAGTAAAATTTCATCCAGTTGGTGAAAGTGTTGGGCAGCTTGATCAGCACACACAGCTTTACTGTTCGTAAGTCATAGTAATTAAATCGTTTTCAGAATGGTGGAAACCAGCCACGACTGGCTCCAAAGGTCTCATCCGCTGCTCGCTTTAGTGTTTCAAAAAAGCTCCGTGCCCTTCCCTGAATCAGATGAAGACTAATGGGACTTCTTTTTGGGATCGGATCATCAATCCAAAGCACAAGGAGCTGTTCTGTTTTTGAAAAGAGGCCTGTCCTATTTCTTGTGATTATGGCATCACTTCCTGGAGCTGATTTAATCGCCTCTTTTATCTTTTCTTTACCCTTAAGGATCATGCATATTGTGGAACAAGCCAGTCCTCCTCCTTTTTCTAAGGTCTCTACCTTCTTCCCCTCTCATGGGCTTTAATTATTTTCATTTTCAAGTCCAAATTGATACTTTTCCTTTGTTTCTTACCTCTATGTTGAGCCAGAGTAGAGCTTGGTCGCTTTCCTTGGGAAGACACTTCTAGCCTAAGAAAGAGTT